CAACATTTATTATTATTATGGTTTGTGGCATAGTTAGCCAGATGCTTAGATTAGATTTGGCTTTTTATCCACCTATTGAGTCCTTCTCAAGGATCTGGAATAGGCAGATGGTGTTTGGTGGTGTTAAAGGTATTGTTGTGGGATTTAAGCTGTTCCAAGTAAAGCTGCCTTTTGCACTGACTGATTGTGATTTTGTCAATGCCTAAAGTGTTCAAGTGGTGCTCTAGATTTTTCGGGACTGCACTCAAAGCATCTATTACTATTGATTCTTTCCTTTCCAAAAGTGATTAGAAAAGGAAATATGCTCACCCAGTGTCCTTTTTGTGCTTGTAATATACTGGACATATTCTGCCCCAAATGACTAAGTACCGGATTTACTGTTGCAGGGAATCTGCACGTGGCAAGGATATGACTAAGGTTAATAACCTAATTTATATTTAGTTTATCCCACTAAAAGGAATTATGTGAAAGCCTTGATTGACCAAAGCCACAAAGGGGAATGGAGGTCAAACTCTGGCTCCTAGGGTGGTTTGGTGATCATGACTTATGGAAACTTAGAATACAGGGAGAGATAAGATCCAGGGGAAAAATATATATTCAATTGGGTGACATGAACGGACGGAGGAGTATGAGATGAGAGAGTACAGAAAAATGGTGCAGACATTCAAAGACCCGAGAATAAACAAAAACACTGATTGCTTGATGAGTATTTGCTTACTAAAAATCTGTTTTAAATCTGTGGTTTAGGCATATACCTGTTTATCGTCATACACGGCAAAAGGTTTATTTATTTTAAAATTAATAAATTAATAAGTGGCTACCCACCTCTATATGCCTCCTGGCAGTATGCAAGAATTAATTAATATCTCAGGGACTGCCACAAAGAAGAGAGAGTCAAGCTATTTTCCAAGGCGCCTGAAGGCAGGACAAGAAGCAACGGATGGAAACTATTCAAGGAGAGAAGCAACCTAGAACTAAGGAGAAACTTCCTGACAGTTAGAACAATTAACCAGTGGAACAACCTGCCTCCAGAAGCGGTGAATGCTCCAACACTGGAAGTTTTTAAGAAGAGACTGAACAGCGATTTGTCTGAAATGGTATAGGGTTTCCTGTCTGAGCAGGGGGTTGGACTAGATGACCTCCAAGCTCCCTTCCAACTTTATTATTATTATTATAAAGCACGACTCTGGAAAGTGAATGAGAATAAAAGGAACCAAAACAGGAAAACAAGCCAATCTTAAGTGACAAGAATGATTAAGCCAGAGGGAAAAGCCCACATTCTTATAACACAATCTGATCTTCAAAAAAAGCCATACACTCATCCTAATCTGAAGCCTTAAGGCTCGTCCAAAGGAGACAAGCATGGAGGCTAGTCAAAGTTCTGGAGGGATAGCATTCCTGGGGGAAGGTGCTGTAACAACAAATTCTAGTTTTTTTGGGGGGGATGTTACCATGATAAAAAATGGAAATTGCCAACAAGGATCATGAAAGTGGGATAGACCATCTTTTGGTGGTTGCCCCAAAGGTGCTTTTTCCAGAGGCAATTGGACTTTGTTTTTCTTTGAAGATGTTTCATTTCTCATCCAAGAAGCTTCTTCAAAGAAAAACAAGAAAGTCCAGTTGCCTCTTGAAAAAGCACCTTTGGGACAACCGTGACCTGGATGATTGAGAATCTCCATAGACATCTTTTGGTGGTGTTAAGAGTGGATCTTGGATAAAAATGCAATTGGAAGGAAGAGTAAAGATGTAATCCTTTATGAAAATATTAGAAGACTGATTAATCTCTCAAAAGAACAAATCAAAAGTAGATATAAACATACATCAAGTAGAAGCTTCATTGGAAAGGATGAAAAGAATTATGTTGTAAAATGCCTCAGATGTATATGAAGGTTCACTAATGGGAAATGTGAAAAAGGATGTTTGGTGGAATAAGAAAATGTTAGAAGCTGTGACTATGAAAAAAAATCCTTATTGAAGTATGATTACTCTCCAAATGAGGATGAGCAAATTATATTGTCATCTGTATAGGGAGAAAAAAAATATGGTTGCAAAGAATATAGTCTAGGAGAGCAAGGATTATCCTAAAACAGTGTTTCTCAATCTTAGCAAAATGATGATTTGTGGATTTCAGCTCCTAGAATTCCTTAGCCAGCCTGTTTTATTGTAAATAAACAGCTGTTTTAGAAGCAAGTGAAGATAGTAATGTAAGTAACAGTAATAAAAATAAAAGAGATGAAATGATTTTGGACGAAGCGAGGGAATGCATGCTGCAAGAATATTTTAAAGATTTGTAGGGGACATATGGGAAACCGGAACTTAAACCAGTGCTGTAAATGTTCTCATTCAAGAAAAATATATATATGTAAAGGAGGTTATAAGTGCTGTGGGAATATTGAAAAAAGTAAGGCTGTAGGTATAGATAGAGTGACTGCAGTAAAATGTAGACATGCTATGCTTATGAACTGGCTGCAACACTTGTCTAATGTGTTTGTAAATTCTACACCTGGGCTTGGTGGCTGGAAGAATGCTTTTATTACCTCTATTCAAAGGAGATGAAAAATAATTTGGGATTAGTTTATGTGTGCCTAAAAATGTTTGACAGAACTCTGATCAAAAGGGGTTGTGAGGTGACAATGCACAAAATTTGGGAAGTGCAATGAGGCTTTATGTCAGCAGGGGATGTACAGACCAGGTTTTGCTTTGCAGCAGGTCACTGAGAAACGTAAGAAAGTTTATTGATTTGTAGAGAAAACATATGATGCAGGCTTGAATTATGGAGGGTTTTTTTGCAGGGATATGGAACTGATGTTTTGTTGCTGAAGACAGTAAGAGTAGTATATATATTTTTTAAAAAGCATGCAAAACAAACAAAACCACAATGGGTTACTTAGCACATTTAGCAGGGATGTACAATCACTGTTTGAAGTATTTATGGATGAATGTATAAAGAAAATGTGTAATGTTAGAGATATTGGGATGCTGGGATGTTGTCTGAGAACCTGGTAATTTGCAACAAATGGAAGGTTAACTGTATGATGCAGTGGTGATATGGATCTGAAAAATTTGTATCAAAGACCAAGTTGGTTGTGTTTAAAAAGGAAAATATAGTATATGATTGCAAGTTATACATAAATGGCAAAAAGCTAGAGCAAGTAGAGGAAAACCAACAAAGCCAATGAGTTGTAGTGGCCCTGGTGGTAATAGCAATTATAAATGTCAGATTCTGTAAAGGTAAAAATTTCCCCTGTCCAGTTGTTTCTGATTCAGAGGGCAGTGCTCATCTCCATTTCTTGACTGAGGGAGCCAGCATTGTTTGAAGACCCTTTCTGTGGTCATGTGGCCAGCATGAGTATATGCCAAAGATGCATGGAATGCTGTTGCCTTCCTACCAAAGTGGTACCTATTAATCTACTTGCATTTGCATGCTTTCGAACTGCTAGATTTGCAGGAGCTGGGGCAAGTAATGGGAGGCCTCACTGGATGTCTTGAACCCCATCAGACTCTGTAGCAGTGATGGCGAACCTTTTAGAGACCAAGTGCCCAAAAACTGGCCCTGCCCCCACCCCTCCTACCCACAGGGCCACTCATTGCCTCCAGATCACCCAGGCAGCCCAGCAGTGCCATGGCGACCATGCCTTCTGCCCGTGCCCCGCAGCATCAACTGTGCATGATGGAGTGTGAGGGTAGAGTCTTGTCTACGCTGCCTGGCTGCCATGTCCTTGGCTGTGCTGCTCCACGTGGGCCATGCTTGGGGGCGATTCTCCTCCAAGGGGGCTGCTGGTGAGGAGGGGTTCACGGGAGAAGGCAAGGTTGGGGCAACAGCACCTGTGCCCACCGAGAGGGCTCCGAGTGCCGCCTCTAGCACCCATGCCATAGGTTCACCCCCACTGCTCTATAGTAATAGCCTAATTTTTAATCACACTGGTTTTTTACCAGTTCAAAAGTCAACATGGAGGATTTTGTTTTTTAAATATATAAGAAACAATAATTGATCTATATAAGTGTGGCATCTATTTCTATAAAGAACAATATTGAAATCATATCAAATTTATTATTACAGGTTAGTGACCAGACTAAATAAGACTTGCTAATATAATTTACTTAATACAACTTACAAAATAGAATGTATATAACAACATATTTAGGGTGAAAAATGTACAGTCCTGCTTGCACTATTTTGCTCAAAAAAAAAAAAAGAAATTATAGGAATTTTTTCACTGTCTAAACAAATCATTTCCTCCCTGTTTCTTTTATCGTTCCCTGATTAGAGAAACCCTTCCTTTTTTTCCTTTTTTGAAATATTTCCTGAAGGCAGCTACAAGAAGGTAAGCCATTCCACTGTCAGGAAATTTCTCCTTAGTTCTAGGTTGTTTCTTTCCTTGATTAGTTTCCATCCATTGTTTCTTGTTTGCCTTCAGGTGCTTTGGAAAATAGGTTGACCCCTCTTCTTTGTGGCAGCCCTTCAAATATTGTAACAGTGCTATCATGTTGCCTCAATTCCTTCTTTTTATTAGACTAGACACACCCAATTCCTGCAAATGTTCTTCATATGGTTTATCATATGAAGATCTCAGAAGTCAGTTGCATAATGTGAACATGGCTTTGCCAGCCCTGTGCTTAACTATTATGTATCATTATCAAATGTGATGTCCTTTCATTTATGCCATTGGTATATGAATGTTTTATGGGTAAAATAATCCTTGTTTTCCACTGTTACAAAGCACAAGCTGAAAAAGAAAGTGATCGGGGCACAAATTAGATCCAATCTGGAAACTCAATTTTTTTTTCTTCTCTATGTAGTTTCTAATGTTTCACCCACGTCTTCCCAAAGATGGAACACAACTATTGTCTTGCTCAAAGCTCCGATTCTCCACCTGACATTACCTTTGATTCTTCAGGTTGATCGATTCCAGCGGAAGCAGAGAACCGATTCCTTTACTTGCTCTGGATGTCTCTGTTAATCCATCCATCTTATTCTCCATCCATTGTCTCCTCTGCAGTCTTTCCAACTTATGATAGCAGACTGGCCTCCAAGTGAACCCAGATTAATGTAAATATTTGGCTTTTATTGGGAGGAAATGTGACATGCGTTTGGGATGGAAGCTATCCAGAGACCGCAAGCTTAAAGCCAAGCTTTTGGAAAAAGCAGATGTTGTGGTGGTCACTGCAAGGTATTTTTATTACTAAGGCTTTAGAATACTCATCCCCTCACTCTTTCCTTTGCATCTGTAAAGAGCAGCCTTTCTAGGGCTGCCAAATAACCTTAATTTGTTGGCCAGACACAAGAGATGGGAGGGTCCTTTGCTAAGTATAATTTTTCTCTGATTGGTTTCCATTGTCTGGGAAGATATGCTTACCTGAACAAAGAGGCATGTCATCCGGCATTACTCGAGGTTTCAAGAAGAAATAAAATGTCTTCCGATTTATGGTTTCCAGGGTCCTTGCTAGCATCAGCAATTCTGAAGTCAGAACTAGTCTAAAATATTCTTAGTACAATAACAAAGTCCAGAAAACTTTGTTGTTGCATTCTCAGCTTCCATCAACTTCCATCACTCACAGCCACGAACAACAGTCAGAGATGATTGGTACTGTAATACACTCATTAGGGCCTCAGGTTCTTCATTCTTGGCAAAGACATTTGATGTTACCGCAATTAGTCTGACTTTAGTTTGCTATAGCACCTATGCTGTTTGGATCTGTGTAACCAGCACAGAGACAGGCTATAGGTGCTCTGTGAATTGAGGATACTACACTTTGCAAAGTATTTTTTTATCCATAGGCATACTTAAGCTATGTTAATCTATGACTGAAATTTTACAAGTATTTACTAGACTTCTACTTTGCTTAGTTTCTGGAGAGTGCTTATAGAAGCCCATTAGAAGTTTTGATCATGTTTCCAAGGAAGATGCACATTGGTGCAAGCTATTTACAGTGTTTAAAAGTCTATAATTTCTGATTTATTTTTTCCACAGAAAATGAAGACAATTCATGTGCATAGTCAACATTTACTTGATACATTGCTAAACTGTGGAGTAATGACATATTCCAAAGCGCAACTGGACTTCCTTGTTTTGTTTTTTGTTTTGAAAATGTTTCACTTCTCATCCAAGAAGTTTCTTTAGTTCTTCAGTAATGATATAAGCCATCTGTGACAGTGTACAAAGCTATAAACCAAGAACTCAATAAACTATGCAATGGTGCGCAGCTAAACTGTGAAATCTTTATTTTGCACATTGACATTTTGATAGTTTAGTGACAACTATGTTAAAATATTTGTTTCGATTTCCTTCTACTACTGACCAGAATCAATGCATTATTTTATATTTCAAGCAAAGATAGTTTAATACAGTGGTTCTCAACCTTTTTAATGCCGTGACCCCCAACCGGTCGTAAGTTGAGGACTAAACCAGTCGTAAGTGGTGCCGCCCCCTGCGCTGGCTGAGGCGTAGCTGGCAAGTGGCAGAGACGGAGCAGGCCGACCACCGGCTGGGCCACCAGCTGGCCCAGCCCAAGGGAGGTAAGGCATCCACCGGAAAAGGGAAAAAAATGGCGGACAGCCTTGCTTGGTGACCCCCGTGAAATGGTCAATTGACCCCAAATGGGGTCACGACCCATAGGTTGAGAACCACTGGTTTAATAGTACGTGCAAGCTGCATAATAGTGGGTTTTGTTTTGTTGGGTTTTTTTTAAAAAAGAAGGCTCTTGAAAATGAATGAACCAAGAAAGAGGTTTGATTTTTCCTTTATTAAAAGTCACGTACTTAAACAATAGTTTAAATTCTTCAGGGGCTGGATAATTCCTGCTCATCCACCACCTGCAATTCCAGCACAGGTACAGTCAAACTGTCATAAAAATATACCTATAATTTTATTGACAGTCACGAAGATCAGGCTTTTGTTAGTTTTGATATACAAATGGCCCTTTTCATGCTTAAGTTGTAGTCTGGAAAGAATCCAGCCAGATTTAAAACTATTTGAGTTATCATGAGTTGAAGTTCAGTGAGATATAGTGAAATGCATCTCAAATTGGTTGTCAGGAACAAGGCTGTAGTGGAAAATGACTGATGAGTGGAAAAATGGATCTTGACGAGTAATGGATGGCAGAAGGCTTTCTATGAACCTGAAAAGATGCTGGGTGTGACCGCTCACGTCTGCATTCAAGTGCAACAGACCTCTTGGGTTCTGCTATGTCTTAAGATCTATGTGCTTGCACAATGTAAAAGGGGAGGGAATGGTTGGTTGCAACATTTAGCCTGATGATATGTGCAAGCCCTCACACACAGATAGGTCAGGGTCATGTTCTTTTTCTGTAATGCAAGTCATGTCGATAACAAGCATTGCATGGGTGAGTGAAAATATCCATGTTGTGTAAGATAGGAGCATAGCTTCATTGCTAACTATATAAGGAGTTTAGGAGGTTCAAAATGCATAAGACATAAGATTTGAGAGAACAAGCACATGTTCAACCTAGCAACCCTGAAAGGATCTTTTTCTATGCCAGAAACTGTCTCTCCCCAACCCCCCCCCCCCCGCTCCACAATGCAGTATATGAGGAATTGCTAAAAAGCCCTGAGCTAGGCCTAACTTGTAGGAGAAGGGAGAAGACCAGCTTTCCTTCTTGTTCTGTTTATCAACAGGATATAAATGCTTGAAGACTGTACGCCTTCTGAAGCCTCCTCTTCCTTGATGGAGTGATAAGCAAACAAGTCTTTGCCTGCTGCCTGCAGGGAAATGGGTTTTGTTATGAAGGGCAAACCCAGCACTGTAACAACAAACAGAAGAAGGGCTGTGTTTGTTTTTCCATGGACTGGAGGTGAGGGTGCAGCCACCCCAGGCCTCCTTCCACATCCTCTCCAATGGGCAGAGAGGGATGAGGCAGAGGTGTAAGTAAACAGGCAGCCTAACCTGGAGTAACTGAAGTGAGGAACAGAGAGCCCTTCAACCGTTCCTCTAGATAGTCTCATCTAGAGGCAGGGTTACCTTTGCACATATTTTATATTTGACAGATTGGTTTCCTTGCCAAGTCCATACAATTATAAAAACAACGCCCTGGCTTATCGTATACCCAATTCAAACCCCAGAAATGCTACTCATAAGCATGGTTCAGAATGTTCAACATACATTCGTTACAACAGTTGTATGCCAGTCCATTCCTTACACTGGGCTCTGCAAAATCTTTGCACCTATATTCAATTAAGCATGCATTTCATTTTCATTATATTTTATTAAAGTTTCATCGAATGAATCCAATCTCTGTAACAGATACACAATAAAAAACATAATACAATCACTTTAATCACAATATAAGCATTCAAAGAGGACCACATAATTGTATGAAAAAGGCACTGAGTTAAATAATTAAATCATGTGTTGTACAAAATGTCTTGTGCCTTGGCTTATATAGGTTAAAATTCATTCAGCAAGCTCTAGTGGGTTGTTTAAGCCAAGGGCTTTTTGTCTCTCTCTTACCCTGCATTTTCACTAGTTTTTGGGTTTGCTCAGTATACCATGCTAGTAGATTTCAGATCCTAAACGTAAACACATCTGTTCCACATCTGCTCATCCTAGAAGGAATAGTGTGTGTGAGATGGGAGGGCAAAGGACAACATATATATATGGAGTCATCATACAAATGCAATTTATTCCCAGCACAGTCTCTAATTGTAGGGTGTGCATGATTACATCATCACAGGCATCATCCTTTTGGCATTGTTGCAGTTTGCTGCAGAAGCTTCGGTGTACAAGATCCCTCTATCTTTGCCTAGAGCAAAAGATGTACTTCTGTGTGTCTTCCACAACCGTGAAAGGAGTCTTTGTGATAGAAGCCTAGGGGATGAGGGTGGCAACTTGAAGACTGGTGGACTTCAACTCCCAGAATTCCACAGTCAGCCATGTCAGATAAATAATATATTCTGCTACCGTTATGAACATCAAGTCTCAAGATAATTGATCCTTACATTGTTAGACAAATCATTTGCAACTTTCCCCTTTCTATCTTTGAGAAAAAAAAACTTCACGGCAGACCCAGAAAAGCTACAAACAAGAATGGGATGCTGCCACTTATCTACAGAGAGGCCCTTTTTCTGACTACAACCCATAGCTTCCACTTTTTGAGAGCGATTAAGGAAAAAAGCATTAAGACTAGAGGCTGATACTTATCAAACATTTTGAGGCTCTGCACATCTCACTGAAAAAAAAAAGAGGTTCATGCTTTCTGCATACAATAGGTGTGCTGGGTTGACATCCCAGTCACCAATTACATGGAAAAAATGGAACATTTTCATATTTGAGAGATGGCTCCCTGATCAGTATAAGTACCAGTGGATTTTTTTTACTTGTAATGTGTTTACTTACACATTGGATGGATGGGTATCAAAGTGGCAAGTTTTACATAAGTGAGTTTTACATAAGCAAATAAAAAGTAATGTGTGCTGGTACAAATACTGTACATATATAAATGTTTTTCTAATTATACACCTATATTAGAAACACCTGAGATGGCAGAGATTGATTTTCAAAAGGATTTTGAAATAGCGGTGACAGTTCAATAAAAAGTCAACCTAGGTATACTGCTGTCCAAAAGCTAACTTTGTGCTAGTAATTATTAAGAAGGAAACTGCAAAAAAAGTTGCCTATAGAATAAAATGCTTATATACATTTATATTGCTTTTGAGGTGCTTGTATAATTCTAATAACCATGTCTTTAACAAGATACTGTGGATCTAGAAAAAAACCTAATTTGTTAGAGAGGTAGACTAGATCTCTTACAGCACTGCAGTATTTAGACTAGGATGAATAGAAGTAAAGGTAACCATGTTACAATTAGTTTGTGATGTTGCAAATGTGGACAGAGAGAAACACATCTCTTTATTCCCTTGCACTCACAGTCATCAGCTGAAACAAAATACAGGGAGAATTAGATCTGATGATAGAAGCCATTCTTTACTTAACATACAGGTGGCGTTCATTGCCACCAGTTGTACTGATGGCTGCCATTTTAAAATGGGTTTAATGAGGGATGAGGCAAATCAACAGAATATCAGACTACCAGGTAACCTATTTTAAGGGTCAGTGGTTACATAGTGAGAGTGAAAGAGAGCAAAAGTGTTTCTCTATGTTTGTGACTTGTTGATTGGTCAACATGTGACAAAGAATACTGGAAAAAATTGGCTGTGGAGATGGCTGACCACTATGAGCAGGGGTGTCAAACTGCCGACCCATGGGCTGGATGTGTCACACCAAAACCGCACCCACCCCATTGCCGACAATGGGAAAAAACATCATGTGACATCGCGAGTTTGACACCCGTGACTATGAGAGTTGCTGGATTAGATGGGCCAATCCAGCAGAACTTTGCTTACATCCTCATTTTCTTTATTTTTATCCTACTTCTTACAAAGTGCCATTGCACACAATGTGGGGAAATTTAAGTTGAAAAAATACTAAATAATCCCAAAGCTTTCCAGATGAATATTAACTGAGCTGATATATTTAATTTTTACCATATCCTGGTTCTCAAATACCTCTAGAAGCCAACCTTAAGTATTTTGTGCATTCCATCCTGAAAGAAAGCTGCTATCATTCATATAGAATCTGATATTAGAGACTGATGTCTCTGTATTTTTACTGAACACGGGGCTGTTGCACTAGCTATCCTCTGAATAAAACTGCATGTTTTTCAGGCCTTTGTGATGAAAAACAACCAAGTGTTTATTCACTTATCTTGGCATGAGACTACCCCAGTTGGAAACAAGGTTATGGGGGAGGAAGGAATCAACAGACTTTGTGCTAGAGATTCTTTCACACTTCCGTGTTATGGCTAGTTCAGTTATAACATGAGCAGTGATTTATACAGAGTTGGTAGCAATGAGGGAAGGGCCAACAAGACAGCCCAGAGGAGGTTGTGAGTGATAAAAGCCACCCCACTCCCCAGCCTCGGCAAGAATAAAGCAATCTGGATTGAGAGAAAACAGTTACAAAAAGAAGGCATTTTAAAAAACAACTTGTTTTGTCTCACAACTGTTGTTTAAAATTAGAAATGGAAAGTCACTATGATTTGCAGAGTAAGGACAACAACTGTAAGACTTATGGATTGGGTGTGTATAACTGGGGAGTGAATATTTTCCTCCTTTTGAAAGGAGGGAAAAATGATTCTTTTTATCCCACTTTTTGAACAGTCTTTTCTTGAGTTA